GATACCTTAGATTTTTGAGAGAGAGATACTCTGAGTTTCTGCTTTGGGCGATTTTGAGAGCTATGGGAGACAAGTCTGAACTCTGTCCGTTTAGAGAGAAGATTTCGAACCCCTTTATCTATTTCGATTTAATCTATTGCTTTCTATTCATCATGTTTGTTGTTCCAATAATCATGTCTGAGTAGATCACCTGTTAGGTTTAGGGTTTAATTAGGGTTTTCTTTGAATGTTTGATTAACTTGCTAGTTAGGGTTCATAATCTATTTAGTTCTTCACCATAGGTTGTTCTTAAAGCTAATTCTGGACTGGCCACCTAGAACTTAGATCTTAGGTTAATTGATTGACACGGAAGTGTAATTGAATAACTGGAAAGAACTTAGGGTGAGCAAAGTAGATATTCGCAAAGGAATTTGGTTTAGATGCCTTGTGAACATATCGAACTTGTGCATTAAAGCTGGTTTAAATCTTTAGGGTTTGCAAAAGAATTTGGAATTCTAGGATTTTAACTTAGATAGTTCTCACAACGGAAGTTGGTTAATTATAATTCGTGTTTTAAGTTCAAGAACTGTGCTTAAACCTGAACCCTGATTAATCGATTTATCTGCATTTATTGATCTCCTGAAAACGCCCTAGACCTAATCTCCATCCATCTGAATCTTACAAACCGTTTTTACTGCTGCTTAGTCTATTTCAGTTGCATTGCTATTTATTTCTAATATTTCTGCTTAGCGTAATTCGATCTCTATAAGGTTTATTGAGTGATCTCTTGTCTCTGTGGTTCGACCCCTACATACTACAACTGCACATCTGTGCTCTTGCAGAGTAGCTTAGGGATTAAACTTTGAGCAGATCATCATTGATCTTTCAATGCTAGTTTATAATGCTAAGCAAACAATGAGACACTTGAAATTCTTTAGTCTAGACTTCTAAATCAGATTAATCCACTCTCATGACAAAAAATCCTTTGTTAATTACCTAATCAAGACTAATTCTCATACATGAAAAGGCAATTAACAAGCATGAGGTTCAATGTCTAATATGACCAAACAGCCTCTTTATGCATCAGATCAATGAGGTAAGATAGACTGAATCTTACACAGAAAGATATAGCAAGCATCACATGATTCTCTAATTCCAATCAACTTAGAACTCTAAACAAGACTAATCTTCTCTTAAAGCATTAATCACAATCGTAATCAACATTCAAACCCAATTCTCATTAGTGTAATGATGATCAAGATGCATTAATTATCAGTTCTAACATGTCATTTATGCTTCGAACAAACATTCTCATGGCATTCAAAACACAAACCCTTAAGTTAGCTCTTTCAGACATTTCATCAAACACCTTGTGGGTGGAGAAATGTCTAAGTTCTAGATCAAGCTATAATGAGAGATCTAGCATTAAGAGCAGCTAACTAAGGAAATGAAATGAGAATATTGATATAAGACTCGGTGAGGCTTATATGATTGCGGAATCGATGGCTTGGTGGGAACAACACGCTGGCTATGACGCTCTCTCGTGTAGTTCGGTGGATGGAGATGGTAAGACAAGGCTTGCTTCCACAAGACTTGAATCGAGATGGGATCTGTCAAGCTGGCTTTAGCGCTCTCTCTTGAGGGATCGGTTAGGGGTTTGGAAGTGGATCGAAGGCACCACAGAGACTATGAACGGATCTCTGTTACTGCGGCTCAACTCTTGGTGAATCTCTCACGCAAGAACAAGCTAGAAAGCTCTTAGGCACAAGCTAAGAAAACGGCGTTATTTTATTGATATCGGGAAAAAGGTTGAAGTACAAGAGCTGCATGTGGGACTTTATAAATAGTCCGTCAGCTTTGAACCTTCTAGGGTTCGACTCAATGAAAAAAAAACGACACTAAGGACTCAAAACAACAGGACTTGTAAAAAGAAATAAAGCAAAATGGCAAAGCGTCTCATTTGGACACAAAAATGGAAAGTTCACTTAAAAATAAAAAGGAAAAGAAACTAATCGTGTGCAACCTTTTCTGGACTTGTTTCGTGCACCTCTGATGCCATCTAGGGTGTTAGACACCACTAGGATACTCCCATGTTACCTGCACAAATCGTATAAATGGAAAATACCTGATTGTGGCCGGCTGTGGGCTTGCTTGTTATCTCGTTGATTCGCTCGTTAGCCTTGAGATTTCCTTCGTTAGTCTTGATGTTTAGTTCATCTAGGGTCCTGTCCACGTCGTGTCCTGCGAGTTCTTCAAGTATCTTCATGCGTCCCTCTTCATGTTCCTCCTTGGGTCTTGTTGGCTCGCTAGCGGCTCCGAGTCTTGGAACGGTTGTATCTTGAGGGTCCGATGCGGCCTCTTCGAGATTCTTGGTGTTCTGTGCTCCATTTCCTGCCAAGTAAACATGTATACCTGATTCTAGTTGAGGCCGGCTTTCTTTGAGGCTCAGACGCGCGAAACCCTCCATTATGTTTAAGTCGGGTCCTTTGGGGCTGTCTCGCGTGTATTGTTCTTGAGGCTCGGTTTTGAATGCATCTCCAAGCTCCATGGTACTTAGTAATGATTCCACGGCCAAGTTGAACCCTTCCCTAAGCCTCCTTGCCTTGGAACGGGTCATTGGTGCTTCTTTGAGCTCGGGAACGACCTTTGGGTCAGGTGATGGCTCGATGGCCTCATCATTCCCTCCCTCTTCAAGAGGTTTTGTCCTCAAAACTGTTTCACCTGCATCATAAGGAGACAAATCAGCAACATTAAAGCTATGTGAAATGTTTAACTCACCTGGGAGCTCTAATCGGTAGGCGTTGTCATTGATCTTCTCAAGCACTTTGAAAGGCCCATCTCCGCGAGGGGCAAGCTTGGAACTCCTTTGCTGTGGGAACCTTTCTGGTCGCATACGTAACCAGACCCACTCTCCTGGTTCGAATACAAGTTTCTTGCGTCCTTTATCAGCTCTCCTTTTGTATTCCTCCGTTTTCTTTACTATATTATCTCGGGCCTTTTCATGTATCTTCTTCACAAATTCCCCTTTCTTGAGGCCGTCTAGATTAACTTGCTCAGCTTGGGGTATTGGAGAGAGATCTAAAGGCATCAGCGGATTAAATCCATACACAACTTCAAAAGGAGACATCTTAGTAGCCGAGTGAGTAGCATGATTATAAGCAAATTCAATGAAAGGCAAACAATCTAACCATGTTTTCAAATTTCGACCAAGAGTGACCCTAAGTAAAGTAGATAATGTACGGTTTACCACTTCGGTTTGCCCATCCGTTTGGGGATGACAAGTTGTAGAGAATAGAAGCTTGGTGCCAAGCTTTCTCCAAAGGGTCCTCCAAAAGTGGCTTAAGAACTTAGAGTCTCGGTCAGAGACGATCGTCCTTGGCACTCCATGTAATCTCACCACCTCTTTAAAGAACAAGTCCGCAGTTTGTGTGGCATCATTAGTCTTGTCACAGGGTATGAAGTGCGCCATTTTTGAAAACCGATCAACAATAACAAAGATCGAGTCTTTGTGCCTGATCTTGGGTAAGCCTAGTACAAAATCCATGGAAATATCCACCCATGGGGCGTTAGGGATAGGTAAAGGTAAATATAGACCATGAGGATGTAACCTGGACTTGGCTTTATGGCATGTAACACAGCGTGAGCAATGTCTCTCCACGTCTCTCTTGAGATGCGGCCAAAAGAAATGGTCTGCGATTACGGCCAGGGTCTTGTCCACTCCAAAGTGACCCATGAGACCTCCACCGTGTGCTTCCTTCAGCAATAGCTCCCTCAAAGACCCTTGTGGAACACATAGTCTCTTGTCTCGGAAAAGAAACCCATCGTGTAGGTGATATGAGATAAGCTCCTTTGCCATGGCCTTGATAAGCTTCTCCGAACTCGGGATCTTCTTTGTATAGCTCCTTGATATGCTCAAAGCCGAGTACCTTGGCCTCCATAGTAGATATCAATGTGTGCCTTCTTGAGAGTGCATCGGCCACCACATTCTCTTGTCCTTTCTTGTATTTGATCACATAAGGAAAAGTCTCTATGAACTCCAACCATTTAGCATGGCGCCTCTTAAGTGCGGTTTGTCCTCTTAAGTGCTTTAAAGTCTCGTGATCAGTATGAATGATGAATTCCTTGGACAACAAGTAATGCTGCCAGGTCTCCAATGCTCGGACTAAGGCATATAACTCCTTGTCGTAGGTGGGATAATTTAGTGTGGCTCCACTGAGTTTTTCACTGAAGAATGCCACTGGTCTCTTTCTTTGGTGTAGTACAGCTCCAATTCCCACCCCTGAAGCATCACACTCCACCTCAAACATCTCGTCAAATTCTGGTAGGGCTAAGACAGGTGCTTGTGTTAATCGGCTCTTCATGGCTTCAAAAGCTGCATCTTGGGCTGGCCCCCATGAGAATGGCACGTTCTTCTTGATCACCGCGGTGAGTGGGGCGGCCACCGTACTGAAATCTCGTACAAAACGCCTGTAGAAGCTGGCCAGGCCATGAAAACTCCTAACATGACTGATTGTAGTTGGTGTAGGCCACTCGCGTATTGCCTTGATCTTCTCCTCGTCTACTTGTAATCCCTGTTCACTTACTACAAAGCCTAAGAAAACAAGCTTGTTAGTACAAAATGTGCACTTCTTAAGGTTAGCATATAGGCCTTCCTTGCGAAGTGTTTTAAGCACTAATTCGAGGTGTTGAAGATGCTCATTAAGGTTCTTACTATATATAAGTATATCATCGAAATAAACAACTACGAATTTACTTATATAAGCTCGAAGAACCTGGTTCATAAGGCGCATGAAGGTGCTTGGTGCATTAGTCAAGCCAAAAGGCATAACTAACCACTCATACAAGCCTTGTTTGGTCTTAAATGCGGTTTTCCACTCGCCTCCTTCACGCATTCGAACCTGGTGGTATCCACTCTTTAAGTCCACCTTTGAGAAGATTGTGGATCCGCTTAGCTCGTCCAACATGTCATCTAGGCGTGGAATGGGGTGCCTATACTTGATGGTGATGTTGTTGATGGCACGTCAGTCCACACACATTCTCCATGTACCATCTTTCTTGGGTACTAAGAGAACCGGCACAGCACAAGGACTGAGACTCTCACGGATATAACCCTTGTCCATTAGGTCGCGTACTTGTCTCTCTAGATCCTTAGTCTCCTCGGGGTTCATTCTATAAGCTGGCTTATTGGGCAAAGCTGAACCGGGAACTAAGTCGATTTGGTGCTCTATTCCATGAAGTGGTGGCAATCCTGGTGGTATCTCTTCGGGAAATACATCCTTGAACTTGTTCAGAATCGCTTGCACTTCAAATGGTATCTCAGGGTCACCTAAACCTGCGCTTAGACATTCTTTAAACATCATCAGTAGCACGGTGCCATTGGCACTCATGGTTTTGTAAACATCACTAGATGATAAATAAAGACTGCTTTTACTTAGCTCGGATTCTTTGTTCATGTGCACTTGCATCTCATGTACCTCGGTGGGGCTTAGAGGCGCAAGATTGTACTTACGCTCCTTGTACATGAAAGAGTAATGGTTGGTGCGACCATTGTGGGTTGTGGCTCGGTCGAATTGCCACGGTCTACCGAGTAATAGATGTCCGGCTTGCATGGGCACCACATCACAAGTGACTTGATCATGGTATTTGCCGATACTAAACGGTATGGACACTTGCTCGGAGATCTTGAGCTCGGTCTGGTCGTTTAACCACCTTAACTTATAAGGACGAGGATGCTTTGTCTTCTCAAGACCTAACCTGTCCACCATATACTTGCTAGCCACATTAGTACATGAACCACCATCTATGATAAGGTTACATACCTTGTTCTTGACGGTGCATCTAGTATGAAATATGTTCTCTCTTTGGGCTGTCTCCTCAGGGTGAACTAGGACGCTTAGCACTCGGCGAGTCACTAAGAGTTCACCAGTGTCGGGATATTCAACCTCCTCCCCCAAGTCGTTAGATTCATCTTCTTGTTCATCTTGCGATTCATAGTCACCACTAGGGGTAATGATCATGACTCGCTGATTTGGGCACTCCCTTGACATGTGACCCCTGCCTTGACATCTAAAACAAGTTATATCACGAGTTCTTGATGTGGGGTTAGAGGACTTACCTTGTTCGGCTCGGTTGAATTTGGGAGCCTCGGTGCCTTTGCCTTTGAATCTTGATTCAATCTCCACGGCTTTGCCTTTATCTACCGGCTTAGAGCTGCTGGCGTTCCATGGTTGGCTCGTGCGGTTGCGGCTAGTAAGAGCGGTCTTGCGCTTGATTTGCTGCTCCACTTGAACGGCAAGGTGCAATAGCTCGTGTAACCCACTATATTGAGCTCTCTCCACCTTTCTTGCTATCCTTTCTTGTAAACCGTCGATGAACTGCGCCATCAAGGCTTCCTCCGATTCTTCTAACTCCAACGAGTTCATCAGCTTCTCAAACTCCCCAAAATATTCATCTACGCTTCTGTTTCCCTGAGACAATTTGCGAAAACGCTTTTGTAAGTCTCTATGATAGTGTTCAGGTACATACCTAAGTCGTAGGAGGAATTTCATGTCGCTCCAAGTGACGACTGGCCCAAAGCGTTGCCTCCTTCTCTCGGCTACGTTTCTGTCCCACCATGCTAAGGCGTTGTCAGTAAGCTGGGCAGCCGCAACAGCCACCTTCTTGCGTTCAGCGTAGCCATAGCACTCAAAGATGTGCTCTAGTCGCCTCTCCCAATCCAAGTATGCCTCGGGGTCCGACTTTCCTGCAAAAGTAGGAGGTGTTAGCTTGAGATCATGAGTTTGCTCTCGGGTATCGGCTACCCTAGCTGGGTTTCTCCTTAGAGGATCCGGCCTCCTCTGCTGCCGATGCTGAAGAGGATCAGGTGGAAATTCATCCCCTAGTTCGGGCATCTCTTCATCATCACTCGCGTCACCGGCTGGCACTTGTGCTCCTCGAACTGGGGCTCTCCTTGGTTGTGCCTCAACTCGGTCTATCCTGGCTCCAAGTTCTTGCCGAATGTTTCCCATTTGTTGAGTCATGTTCCTCAACTCCTCTCTCATTGCGGTCATCATTTGGACAAGAGCATCGTTTGGAACAGGTTCTCCTTCGGCCATGATACTAGTTAGCCTCACTTGGTGTCCTTGTACTCAACAAAAACAACAACTAGTCAAAAGTACCACCGAATATTAAGGATATTAAAACGCTAAACTATCAGACTCGCTACTTAAATGAAACTAAATAACTTTTATATGGTTTTCAAATTTTAGTATGCAAAGAACAAGGATTAACGGTCTAAAATCTAGCAATGCAACAAATTCTTTTTTTTTTTTTTGACTAATGAATATGAAAGCAAGCAATTAAATTTTTCTAGGGTTTTTCGGTTTTATGAATCAAAATAAGCTAAACGAGTATGAATAAAAGTGCAAGAGTGTAAGGGATAGAAAACCAAAGGCAGGAACCTTTGGCTCTGATACCAAAATGATATAAGACTCGGGTGAGGCTTATATGATTGCGGAATCGATGGCTTGGTGGGAACAACACGCTGGCTATGACGCTCTCTCGTGTAGTTCGGTGGATGGAGATGGTAAGACAAGGCTTGCTTCCACAAGACTTGAATCGAGATGGGATCTGTCAAGCTGGCTTTAGCGCTCTCTCTTGAGGGATCGGTTAGGGGTTTGGAAGTGGATCGAAGGCACCACAGAGACTATGAACGGATCTCTGTTACTGCGGCTCAACTCTTGGTGAATCTCTCACGCAAGAACAAGCTAGAAAGCTCTTAGGCACAAGCTAAGAAAACGGCGTTATTTTATTGATATCGGGAAAAAGGTTGAAGTACAAGAGCTGCATGTGGGACTTTATAAATAGTCCGTCAGCTTTGAACCTTCTAGGGTTCGACTCAATGAAAAAAAAACGACACTAAGGACTCAAAACAACAGGACTTGTAAAAAGAAATAAAGCAAAATGGCAAAGCGTCTCATTTGGACACAAAAATGGAAAGTTCACTTAAAAATAAAAAGGAAAAGAAACTAATCGTGTGCAACCTTTTCTGGACTTGTTCCGTGCACCTCTGATGCCATCTAGGGTGTTAGACACCACTAGGATACTCCCATGTTACCTGCACAAATCGTATAAATGGAAAATACCTGATTGCGGCCGGCTGTGGGCTTGCTTGTTATCTCGTTGATTCGCTCGTTAGCCTTGAGATTTCCTTCGTTAGTCTTGATGTTTAGTTCATCTAGGGTCCTGTCCACGTCGTGTCCTGCGAGTTCTTCAAGTATCTTCATGCGTCCCTCTTCATGTTCCTCCTTGGGTCTTGTTGGCTCGCTAGCGGCTCCGAGTCTTGGAACGGTTGTATCTTGAGGGTCCGATGCGGCCTCTTCGAGATTCTTGGTGTTCTGTGCTCCATTTCCTGCCAAGTAAACATGTATACCTGATTCTAGTTGAGGCCGGCTTTCTTTGAGGCTCAGACGCGCGAAACCCTCCATTATGTCTAAGTCGGGTCCTTTGGGGCTGTCTCGCGTGTATTGTTCTTGAGGCTCGGTTTTGAATGCATCTCCAAGCTCCATGGTACTTAGTAATGATTCCACGGCCAAGTTGAACCCTTCCCTAAGCCTCCTTGCCTTGGAACGGGTCATTGGTGCTTCTTTGAGCTCGGGAACGACCTTTGGGTCAGGTGATGGCTCGATGGCCTCATCAAATATAGAACCTGAACATCTTTAATTAAACATCTAAGCACCCTAATCTACACACCTAGAAGCTTAAAAGAAGACTACTCACTAATAATGATGAACACACCATTTCCTTTGCAAGAGATGATGTTAATCATGATTAGAAGTAAAGATAAGAAGATAAGATGTTAAGAAACAGATTTAGAATGATTAAAACCTAAATATATCTCTTAAAAAATTGTTTTTCACTAAAGGGGAAAAGAAAACAAATGAAAGATGATCCAAAGATCGTTTAGGGTTTTCTCCCCAAAAAGTATTTATACTAAGGGGTCTGGACCGGGTCAGCCCAGAACAAACTGGGTACTGACCTGGCTTTGTTGGATAAAATGTGTCTTGCTGCGGCTCAGCTTGTCTCCTCCTCACTCGCAGCCTTCAACTCGCAGCCTGAATCGAGTAACTAGGTTTGGAGCAGCTCCTCCATGATGTGGCTCAGTTTGTCCTCTCCTCACCCCCAGCATTCACCTCGCAGCCTGAAGCGAGTTGTTTGGTTTGGCGCAGTTTCCTCTTGCTGCGGGTTAGCTTACTCGCAGTCCTATCTCTCAGCCTGAGGAGAATCATAAAGTATGATGCTTTTCTTCCTACTCCAGGTTGGCAAGTCGCAGCATTTCATTTTTACTCAGAGCAGCTCGCACTTGAGGCACCATAACTTCTGGGATACGGATCCAAACGAGTCGAGAAAAAATTCAGAGGGCAGGAAGCTCAATTTTCTAGAAATTTGATGAAGAGATCGAGTGCATCTAGAGTGAGAAAGGATTTTCGGTAAAGCCATCTTTGCATCCGCTCAGGAGGACATGTATGTTTCCCGCTTAAGATATCTCCCAGCTTACTACTCCAAATGATTTGATTCCAAACTTTATGGGAATATGACTCAAATATCTCAAATATTGATGAAGGAACCGGAAACTGTATCGAAAAGGAAGGGCTTCTTTCTGAGTGATCTGTGAAGCGTATCAGATCAGTCTGGAATGGGTGCGAGACAAGTTCATCTTCTGTTGACCATATCTTTCAGCTCACTGCTCCAAATCCATTGATTCTAAGTGTTTTGTAACCTTGATTCGGTCCTCTTGATTTGTGATGAAGGTACCAGATGCTAAATCGAATGGGAAGGCTTTCCGGTAAGGCGATCTTTAAAGCGTATTGGCATTTGGGAATTTTGGCAGATGATCATGAGAGCCTGTTTACCGAATTTTGATCATTTTTATGGATCACTTTAATATTTTTTGCAGGTGTTTTTACTTCATTTTCAAAGATTTTCAAAGGATGTCTATGTTTTTGGATTTTAAAAGACTTTTCAGGTAATTTCAAACTGTCAGAACTCTCAATGAGAATGAGGTGCAAATTAGAACAAAAAGATTCTTTTGGATAAATTCCGACTGTCAGAACTCTCAAGGAGAGACGAAGGCCTTCTCACCATTTGATCATCTCCAAAATTGGACACTTAACAGAAGACTCAACCTGCTTTCAAATGCACTTGGTTTGGAGATATTCCAACGGTTGGATATAAAGATATTCCATTTGCCCCGGAGACATTTGAAGACGGCCAGCAAGTTACAGGACCGCGGCCAATAAGCCATTTATCACGGCCAAGGCTGTACAACCGCGGCCAAGCACCCATTAACCACGGTCACGCATAGTGTGACCGCGATCAACTATCTCCAACTTAAGAAGCCCAAGTCATTTCCTAGCCTCAATTGTGAAACCCTAGACGTCCTGGAGTATTAAAGACTATAAATACTTGTCATTTAGGTCATTTTAGATATTTCTTCCAGACTTTTTACAGAGACAGCTTTTCTTAGCCGTTTTAGCGATTTGAAGAGAAGATTTCTCAACCTTGAGTTCATCAATAGAGAAGTTTTTTTTATCTATTTTTTTTTTAATTGCTTTCATTAAAACCAATGATGATATCCACCTCAGCTATGTCTGAGTAGATCCCGAGTTGGGCATAGGGTTCCCGAAAAGGGCTCTCATAATCAAATAAGACATTTAGTTTTTCAGATCTGGGATTTTATTTTATGTTCTTTGTTTATTCTTGTACGTAATGCATGTATGCTTATTTGATCACCTCACGTCTGATCTAGATAGTTATTGTTGCGAACGTTTTCATTAAGTATCCAACTTAGAATGAAACGGGCGATTCTGCCGTAGGAGCAGAAACCTACCTATGGGTGAGTCGTGAGTATTGACGAGTCCTATACAAGTTCCTGCGTTTTCTCCTTTTCAGGGCCAGAGTGGAAACCTACTGGTTAAGTTTGCAAGAGACAGTTGGTTATGATCACGACAGTGATGTAGTCATACTGCCATGCTCTAGCTCTAGAACCCTAGATATTTTGATATCCAATAATCTCAATCTATAGCCTTAGTTGTTAAAACCGATTATGATCCTCATAGAGTTCCCAAAAGCCCAGCGTTTTTAGTTATTGATTCACAACCAATTCGATTATTTACTTGCTTACTTACATCGTCATTTTTGCTTGCTTTCATTCGATATTCTGCTTGCTTTTTAGGATAGATTTATTTGCTTTCTTTCGTATTAGTTTAAACCGTGACACACATCAATCTTTCAAAACCCGATTTATTCTAAACATAAACTTAGAAACTGTTGAAAACTACTCGGCACACATTAACTTTCATTTGTTTCTTTTAGGGTAAAACATGTTCCCTCACACCGCACATATCATGAGTATGAACCACTGATTGACACAGTCAGAAGCCGATTTCTATCTCTGGCAGACTCCAACTAATAAAATCTGTCATCACGAGCATTACAAATTTCTGGAGTTCGGCTTTCCGGCGGCCGTAGCTTTGTTATGCCTCTATAGAAAGTATGTGTAACGCATTTCTCTGGTCTGGTTCCCCTCATTAATACATAAAAAGAAAAAGGTGTGTGGGATGATGTTTGTTCTCCTAAGAAAAAAGGAGGGCTAGGAACTCATAAATGTATGACTCTGCACAGGTTTTGTCTCTCAAGTTGATTTGGAGATTATTTGAGAACTCTGGCTCCTTATGGGTACACTGGACTCGCGAATATCTGCTTTATCAGTCGTCTTTCTGGGACATCCCCATTAATACTTCCAGGGATCCTGGATCTGGAAAAAAACTATTGAAATTAAGACCGTTAGCGAAATCCGTTCTTCGAATAGAGGTACATGATGGCACCACAACCTCTTTCTGGTTCGATCAATGGCTCAACCTTGGGCCTATATGGGATATTACAGGAGACTCAGGTCCACGCATTCTCGGTGTTAGTTGCCATGCAACAATATCTGAGGTTAAAAATGGAATGGACTGGCTTATTCTTCTAAGTCGTGGATGTCATCTCCAAGATTTGATTCAACAAATTCGAACATCACTATCTGTCACCAACGACACGCAAATATATCTACAGTTACAAAGAAACAAAAGATCAAGAGCAACAAAGAACACGAAGAAGAAGGTTTGTTTCTCCCCTTCTTCTTCTTCACCATGTTTCCTTGTCGCTCTGTTTCTTTTGTTTCTCATGCATTCAACTTTATATAATAAGATTAGATTTTGCGTCCACGCTACGCGTGAGTATTTTGTTAATAAAAATTATATACAATCAATTATATTTATTAAGATATAAATTTTATATATTAGTGACTTAATAATATATTAAAAATATTATAATTTTAATATAATAAGTTTTATATAAATTTTGAGGTTTTAACGGTTTTGTTTTAAATCTATATACAGTATGTCATATTTTAAAAACGTATTATTTGGTCAAACACTTATAAGTTAATATACCCAAATCAACTAAATTTTTTATAAAATAATCAAATGGTACTTATTAAAACTAATATTGACATGATGATAAAATATTATACATTCACTTCTTTAAATCATGAAAATAATTTTTTTTCATCATTTTCACTTTTCTTCCAATTATATATGTATTTTTAAAAAATAATAATAATAATAAAATTTAAAATTTAATCTTTTTTGTTCTCTTGTTTAACCGATACAAATTTTTATTTTGTTATCTTAATTTAAAAAATAAAATAAAAAAATAAAATATTTGCTTTGAGATTAATAACAATTTTAAAAATTAGTAAAGCTTTTTAAATTATAACTAGATTTTAACCCCGTGCGTCCGCACGAGAATGTTTTATTTTTTATTTCTAATATAAGTTGCATTTATCTTTTTTTGTTTAGATATAATTTGTTTTTGTTATTTATTTTTTAAAATCAAAAAATTGTTATCATATTTTAATTTGAAACAGTAAAATTTGTATATTAGTAGACTAAGAGTATGCGTTAATTAAGTATACATTAATCTAATATTAATTATAAACTTTGTTATTATGTGAATTTAAATTTACACATAAAAAACTTATATATCTATGAATTTACTAATCCATCCGTTTAGTTGTCTTAAATCATTTTGAATATCTTACATGTTTTGACAAACTAACCTGTATAAGACTATAATTATAATTGTATAACCCTATAAATATTTACTAATATAGAATATTTGGACCAATTGATTATGAAAAAATATAATAAAATATTTATTTACTATTTGTGCTATTAAAAAAATGTATATATATAAACTGGCTAACGTGTTAGTTTAATTGTCTCAAATCATCTTAATATCTTACATGTTTTAATAAATTAACTCATGGACCTTAAATATATTTCTATATATATATCTATAACTCTAATCAGCCCGATCATATTATTGTATAATATAAATATTTATTAATCTCAAATATTTGATATTTTAGACCGATTGATTATGATAAAATACGATAAAATATTTATTAACCATGCATTTTTATAAAAATATTATTTTAATTTAAAATTTTAAATTAAATCTCTCCTGTATTTAAAAAAATTTAAAGTATTAAAATTATTATCTAAATTTTCGTAATAAAATTTAATTATAATTTTTTTTTGAATTTTTTGAATTTAAATTAAATTGAATGCAAATTTTTGTAACTAAATTTAATTAAATTTCTAATAATTTGAAATTTAAATTAAAGATGACTTAGATTTTAGGAAACCTAAAAATATCTAAATTAATAATTAATTTTTGGAAATTAAATATAAAAATAAATTAAAATATTATAAAAAAAAACTTTATGAGTGTTTGGATGCAAGCACTAAATGTGCTTCTGTTTTAATAGAATAGATTCTAGCTAGGGATTACGCAAAGATACTTACTATGATTTTAAATAATTAAATTATAATTTATTCTTTTTACGTATCTTTTTAAATTACTAAATCATAGTAAGTATCTTTCGAGATTTTTTATTTTTTAAATTATTTTCTTAATAGAATTAGGAAATTTATTTTAAATTTACAATTTTGATATATACGAATAAAAATTAATTTTTAAATGCTGATGTGGATGCTTTGAAAATAATATAGCTTTAACTGTTATTTATAATAGAATAGTTTTAATTAACATTTTTTCTATATTGTTTTGTACTAATAATATAATTTTATAATTTAATTTTTTTTAATTTTAGTTATTGATGTACACTAATAAAATTGACCTTTAAAATCTTATGTGGATATCTTTAGAGGTATATAGCTTCAATTTTTAGTTTTTCTATAAATATATATTTTGTTAACCATATAATTTTAAATTTTAAAAAATTTCATAATTTTAAATATTAATGTGGACCAATAAAATTGAACTTTTATATCATATGTGGACATTCTTAGATGCATATAGCTTTTATTTTTTTTTAATAATAAATTTAGAAATCAAAGCTGGAATATCCCACACGAGGCAAATGATTATGGTCTCTCCTTGTTTTGAGGCTTACCGAATGTATTTGCATGCTGCTTGGTCAGCTAATTGTTACTTTTTTGGTTAACGTTAGGTTGTTAAAACCCCATCAGATGCCATGTTATTTTAAAATTCTTTCTCGGATACCTCAATCTTTGGCTTAATGACAGAACTTCTTTCTTTATTTTCAGTGCTTCGTTTTTTAAAAGTGTCATGATTTTGGTCTCGTCTCCTTGTTTTGAGGTTTACCGAATGTATGTGGATGCTGCTTGATCAGCTAATTGTTACCTTTGTGGTTAATTTTAGATTGTTAAAACTGTATCAGATGCCATGTTATTTCAAAAATCTTTCTCAAATACCTCAATCTCTTTCGTCTTAATGACGGAACCGCTTTCTCTATTTTCAGTGCTTTGTTTTTTAAAAGTGTCGAGTATTAATCACTTGACTTGTTTCTCGGATTGCTTGAAATTTATCATTTTTCTCAAATTCGGTGGCCAAGCTTTGGAGATTTTTCGGTCTCTTTTTTGATATTAAAGCGGCTTGTAATGGCTTTGTTTATATCTCGTTTCATTATATTTTTTGTAATTTAGCTAATAGTTAAACTTATAGTTTAGCCAAGTTGATTTTTCTACGTTGTAATGGCTATTTTTTTGTGAAACCTAACTCTTTTTTTTTTTTATATTTCAAATGGTTTTACGCACAGAAAAAAAAAACTTAAAATTTATTATAGTTATGTGACAAAAATTTGGATACTAATGTAAGAGTCTCTAAATATGTGTGTACACATCTAATTTAAATTTAAAATTTTCTATCTTAATATTATTTATTTTAATTTTTTATTATTAACAAAAAAAATTATATATAATTTCTTTATCTTTAATAATTTTTAAAAATAATAATGGAATTTGAAAAAAAAAATAATTTTCAATATTGAGGTGGACCAATAAAAAAATTATATAGAATTTTTTTATTTGGCAATAATTAGAATTTGTAAACTTTCTTAATTTCTTTATTCAGCAATAATATTATAATTTGTAAAGTTTCCTGATTTTGAATATTGATGTAGACTAATAAAATTACTTTTTAAAATCCTATGTGGACACCATCTAAAGAATATCTTTCTTTATTTTGAGTGCTTTGTTTTTCAAAAGTATCATGATATTAGTCTTTCCTCCTTGTTTTGAGGCTTACCGAATGTATTCAGATACTGTTTGGTCAGCTAATTGTTACTTTTGTGGTTAAAGTTATGTTGTTAAAACCCCATCAAATGTCATCTTATCTCAAAAATCTTCCTTAGATACCTGAGTCTCCTTCGTCTTAATGACATAACTTCTTTCTCATCAGTGCTTCGTTTTTCAAAAGTGTCGAGTACCAATCACTTGACATGTTTCTCGGATTGTTTAGAATTTATCATTTTTCTCGAATTTGGTGGTCAAGCTTTGGAGATTTTATGGTTTCTTATTTAAATATTATTTATTTTAGGTTTTTTATTATTAACAGAAATTTTATGTATAATTTCTTTACCTTTAATAATTTTTAAAACAATGATAGAATTTGAAAACTATTTAGTTTTCAATGTCGAGGTGGACCAATATAAAATTTATACAGAATTTTTTTATTCAGCAATAATATTAGAATTTATAAACTTTCTTAATTTCTTTATTCAGCAATAATATTAAAAATTTGTCAATTTTCCTTATTTTTGAATGCTGATGTAGACCAACTAAATTGCTATTTAAATCCTATGTGTACATCCTTAAAAACTTATAGCTTCAACTTTTATTAGTATAAGATAGTAAGCATACAAAGGGTATGCCCTTTGTAAAGATATATGTTTCATTTTTTTTGTTCTTTATATTGAATTTTTCTTTTTTTTGGTCTAACATCTATATTGAATTTTTCGCTGACATAATTTGGTTAACAAATTTTAATTTGAAAAACAACAAATAGTAGTAGTAGTTTTATCAAAAAGAAGAAAAAAAATAGTACTCTGTTTTCCTTTCGTCAAAAGCACATTTACCACTCTTTTATATCCTTAGTCCTTGGAACCAGAAACAGTTATGATTTCTGCATGCGAATAATGTTATTTGTTCAAATAAGAGAGAAGCTAGAAACACAATGTTGATGGATCCTATAATTATCAATAGATCCTTTGTTGTATATGACTTGACCCAACTACTTGTATATCTTTCCAAAACCCCAATTGACATAATCTTAGAACAATAGTACAAGGTTGATGTAACTTTGATACCATAGAAAATCTCAATACACAGTAGAAAGCAAGTTGTTTCATTGGCTCATGAATAGTCTCAGGGGCATATGAAATGGAAGAAAACATTACAGTGAACAAAAGAAAATGCATATAAGAAAAATCATAGCCTTTCATATCTTGTTGCATCTCCTCTTTTTTGTCTCATTTGAATCATGGGTTATACTCATAGCGGCAAGAACCATGACCTGTACATAAACATATCCGGATCAGATACAGATAGTTTATTAATCTGGAGTCAAGGGATTCAATTACAGAGAGAGAGAGAGAGAAAGCTTACTGGGGTCAAGCTCAGTGATCATGGCAGCACCTTTGAAGTAACAAGAACCACCTTTGTGCTTATAAGTTTGGTAATAACTGTTGAAGGCAAAGGAGGCATGATCCCTGATTGTGTTGGGCAAGAAGCAAGGCTGGTTTTGCTGCTGCATTTGGCTGCAGTCTGCTCCGCCTTTTGAGCAAGCCCAGTCTAAGGCTGCCTGCAACTCATCGTCTGGCGTTTGCTCATCCGCAATGCACCATTGTTCCGACTCTGCCTCTGTTTATACATACAACTTGCATAAGGCCAAAGGTAACATAGGTGCACAAGTGTGAATATTGCAGTGATATTTTTACCTGACTGTTGAGGAATTGTCATTGCTATCACAAGCGAAGCAAGAAGTATCCTTATCAAGAAAGTTGACATATTTCCCAAAAAGGCAATGAGTGGATTAGAGAGATTCAGATCTGATCTAGTTAGGAAATTTGAGAGCTACAAAAATGACTGCAACTTGAGCCCTTTATAGTAGTTATAAAGAATCAGGACTCACAACAGTTCAAGATCTATGATTTTTTTTTTTTACTTTAATGTGAACATGATGACTTGGGAATCTTGGTTTGCTTCAGATGCAATCATGTGCCAGATCTGCGTTTCACTAGTTTTGAGGAGGATTTTGTTCTGCTTCTGGAAGCTTCACAGAAACACAGACATCCTTTTTTTTTTTTTTTGAACAGCACACAGAGACATCCATACGCTTCCCATAAAGGACCATTACTATTAGTACACAACATGCAAGCCGTTTTTACAGTTCAAGAGAGGAGAGTTTGCGTTTATATGAATGAATATAATGGAGCTATACAACAAACTGACTATACAAGGAGAAAGATAATATCCTACAAGGGCAATGGTCTTTTAACTAGATTCAAAGAATCGTGCAACCGCTGTGTAGAGCTTTTCCTCTTCAAACGGTTTCGAGACATAACCATCCATTCCACATTTCATACATTCTTCGTTACTAGCTTGAATCACATCAGCTGTCATTGCTAAAATCGGGACGTGCCAGCTACTGAACTTACTGTACATTTCAACAGGAACTTCTTCAGAAGCTACTTTTTTGTTGGTCTCCCTCTCCAGATCACGGACTCTCCTCGTTGCTTCAAATCTGCACATACATGATAAAATCATCAGGGACTACATTCAAGAAATCAACAAGCCAAAAGGGTAAGATTGAAAAACAGTTTGGTACCCATCCATTTCAGGCATCTGGAGATCCATGAAGCATGCATCGAAGTTGTGAGGCGGCTTAAGCATTGCCAATGCAGCCTTGCCACTCTCAACACATGTAACAACAGCTCCATATTTCTTAAGCGCGCCTTCGGCTACTCTTCTGTTCACCAGGTTATCGTCCACAACAAGAATCCGTTTTTCTCTGAGCAAGTGTCCAAGATTGATTCGCTTTCTGATTGGTTGCCTCTTCTTGCCATTGACAAGTATTTCTTGCAAACAACATATCAAGACACTCATCCGAAGTGGCTTTATTAGCACCTCGTCAATGAAACCAGAAGACTTCATCTCACTGCGCTCAACAAGAGTTGCAGAGGTTGCCAAAAGTAGAATCTTTGGTGGTCTTGTAGAGGTTTCTTTGGTAGAGGTTAGCAACTCGTCAAGTATTGTAAAGTCTGTCTTGTTCCAAGCGTCTTTGTCGATTAGAACCATAGCCAAATTTCCTAATTTGCTGCAAAGATTCCGGAAAATAGAACTTTGAAGTTAAACAACTATAAGCCTAGCAAAGGATTACACATTTCATTTTCATATGAACACAAAGCAATGATCTTGGAAGAGTAAGCAAAACCAAAACTAAATGTATGTTAAAGTACCTGATACAAGTGCATGCCATTCTCAGACTTGAAACAATGTCTGCAGATATTCCCAATCTCCGAAGATGGTAACTTGTGACCTCGGCTCGGATTTTTCTGTTATCAATAACCAATGCCTTCATTCCTTTAAACTCCTGAATAGCTAGATCGAATCTCTCATACTTAGTTATAGTAAAATTCGTTTCTGCTCTCCCAAAAACTCCAGTAAATGAAAAAGTACTGCCTATCCCTGGCTCGCTCACAAACCCCATCTCTCCTTCCATGAGCTCAACCAAACGCTTGCTTATGCTCAAACCTATTCCTGTGCCACCATAGGTCCGCGATGTGGAACTATCTGCTTGCATAAAAGGAGTGAATATACGGCCTTGTGCATCCAAAGGTATGCCCACTCCTGTGTCCTCCACTGTAACTAGCAATTTGATTCTGCCAGAGTTTTGATCTCCAGTGCTGTCAAATGTCTTAAAATTCTTCCAGCTTCCCAATGCATTTACAGCAGGAAACCCACTAACCGTCTCCCCTGACTCACTGCATCCTAAAGCTACTCTTTGTTTTAGCACTGCATCTTTAATATTTACAGGCTCCCTCATCTCATCTGCAATGTGCACTGAGATAAATATGTGTCCCTTGTCCTGTGTGAACTGTTATTACAGAAACAATGTGAACTGTTATTACAGCAACAAGTGAGTAATAATAGTAGTAGAGAAGTATGTTGTTTTTGTAAGAAGTAAGCAATTAATTAAGTACCTTAATCGAGTTTCCAACCAGGTTAGTAATTATCTGCCGGAACCGACTCGGATCACCAACTACAACATCAGGAACTTGACCAGACACATAAACGGCCAACTGTAACAGGAAACCGACAATTCATTAAATATGAGATTTGTATGCAATTTGAAAACATAAGAAGCGGTTTCTATTATACCTCAATTCCTTTTTCATTTGCCTTGCCAGAGAGTAGAGAAGAAACATTATCAAGAACTAAACGCATATCAAAAGGCACATTTTCCAGCTCGAGCCTTCCTGATTCAATCTTAGCCTGATCAAGAACCTCATTGATTAGTGATATAAGATCTGTGCCACTGCCATGAGCAGTTTGCGCATAATCCATTTGTTTCGCATCAAGATCAGTGTCCATCAGCATTTTTAGCATTCCTGTAACACAACATGCTTAAACTTTTCAGCTGATTCTCCAGAGAGCATACAATGACACAGGATCAGTAAATAAAAAATGTACCTAGAACACCGTTCATTGGAGTCCGTATCTCATGAGAAACAGTTGCTAGGAACTGCATAAACAAGCTAGCATTTCAGTAACTTTAGAAAAGAAGCATTATATGACAAGCAACTCTAACAAAACAAAAGGTTTCAAGGTTTTGAGGCTATTTGATTCACCTGTGACTTTGCAATGTCAGCAGCCTCAGCACGAGCTTTCAGTTCCTTCATCTTCTGCCAGTCTTCTTCAACTATTGCAATTCGACTGATTGCGTCATGGAAGATATAACCAACCAGAAAAGTAATAATCAGAACTAAGCCTGACGATATTATCGCGGTCCACGGGATGGGAAGTTTATGCTTAAACCTGAAAATAAAAAAGGTCATTTTCATACTTCAGAGTGCAACGTATCTTACAGAGAGATCATTAGAGTAAGTGCTAACCTGCAGTGCATCTCATGATTCCTTGATGGATCACCAAAATCAAGGCTACTTATGTGTTGTTCACTTATATCCCCAGTTTCTGAGCCATACATTTTAATCAGATCTGAGGCGTTAGTTGTATCATAAACATCCACTACAATTGTCTGTTTGCTGGCAAGTTGGTGAAGAAGTTTCTCCACCAGAGATGGCATATCATATGATGCACCAAGGTACCTGTTCCATGTGTATCTTATTGAGATATTCTAGTACAGAGATCATAAAATTTTCACTATTTGATACATAGAACCATTTTACATCAGCACAACAATTTACGAAGAAAAGTAAAAGTAGTACCCAATAGTAGCATCAACACGTTGTTCTTCTGTAGCATTGTGCGGTAGGTTCGTATCATAGACAGCAAAGGTCAACACCACGCCGAGATGATTTGACTTCAGAAGCTTAAATGGAGATGTTAATACTCCTTTTCCTGATGCCCTTGCACGCAAGATGTTTTCACGGTCTTCCTGCAAAATAGTTAGACTTGTGAATTCTCTTTGATCATATTGGTTTTGGCAATTGGAAAAGAAACATTTTAGGCATTACTGACTTCTCCAGACATCATGTCGACCGATACAATATGAGAAACAGTTTCTTGAGCAAATATAACTGGCGCATATTCGTCTTGAATGGGTGCTGGGTCAAAATTCTCAGGAACACAATCTTGGACAGGTGTCTGGTCCTCAGTTTCCATTTTCTTTATTGTCCATCCATGCTCCTTTTCAAATTGCTCTCTTTTGGAGTGTGGGACTTTCAAAGCATACGCAACACCACTGGTGAGAGGCCTCTCAAAGTTTGTTCTCTCCGTATATTCACCAAAGGTTTTCTGTAAAATGTAAAAGAAGTTGAGGATTTAAACATCATCCATATGAGAACCTTGATATATGAAATGTATCAGCAGTAATAAAGCACATCACCTGATCAATGGCTGATGGAGTTTTACCATGGTGAAAAGTGGATACAAGAATAGACAAGGCGTGAACATGGTTCAGGCTAACATTGAACTGATCTTGTAACACACGGGCTCGTTCATCACACATGTTCTCTAAAGTTTCTCTCCTTTTCAATATGATCTTCTCATTGGTGTCCCAGAACCACCAAACAGACATGGAAACTCCTGCGATGACACCGAGGAGAAGGATGTTCTTCCTCCATTTTCCAGCCCCTCTAAAAGCGGTCTGAGGACGCTGCTTATGAGCTAAAGCCTCTTGCGGATTTACGTTTTCTTTTCTCTCAGTTGGTGCTCTAGAATGAGAAACAAACACCTTATGGCACACTAATACACCAAGGATTAGACACCACCATGTATTCCTCAAATAGGTTGACACATCCCAATTCAGTCCTTCGTCATGGTTTACAGGTTCTTTGGATTGCAGTAAACTCTACACACAACAAAAACATTCAAAACAAAGTTTTATTAGAACTAGATACCAAATTTGAAGGAATTTTCTTCACTCTGTGCTAGAATCGAATGTTATCTTTACCTGCTCAAGATTATCGCAGACGCGAGCTGTAGATGAAATATAGTGTTGTAAGCCTGATGGATCAAGATTCAAAGGAGCCCCTCCAGTCTCTTCTTTCTCGCAACGCATATTCAGGGCACATGTAATACCATAATTTTCCCACATTCCAGGGCTAGATTCCTTTCGACATTCAAATGATGTTACCTGCCACAAATGCAGAGAAATGGTAAAGTGGTTCCACATAGATGTCTTTTTCAAAGGAAAATCTTCTGTGCATTTGTAGTATATATAGCTCCCAAGAGCTCAAATTTTTTTTTGGTGTCAAAGCCAGTAAACAAAGTCAATTAAGATTCTTTTACCTGATCTGAATCATAGAACAAAGAGACCAAATCATGAATCTCACTCCTTGTGACGTTTTGATGTCTGTACAACACTCTAGCTTCTCCATCACAAGAACCTGTCTCCTCCTTCCGAGAGAACATCAGAAGAACAATTACCATAGAGACTGTTAAGCCACACAGAATCAAGAACAAGAGAGGCTTTTTAATCCATTTCCTGCCACCGCTTGATTCCTTTGCCTTCTTTGAAGTGAGATTCGAGAGTTCACAAGTTATAGACATATCTAATCTCAGATTCAGCTGAAGAAAAGCAGGGAAAATTCAGATCTCTCCGAACCCAGAAAGTAGGATTTGATCAGCAGAAGAACTACAATCTCCTGATGTTAAAGTTGAATTCTTGAAACCTCCCCAAGAAGAAGAAGAAGAAGAAGAAGAAGCTGTGACATGGTGGTCCGAAGCGGAAAGCTTTTTCTCTTACTGAAACCAATTAAGACGCAAGACGACAAGATGAGCCAAACCCAGTGGTTGTTGCAATGGGAAAACTTGGAGAAAGACATCGTTTCAGTAAAGAAGTGGAGAAAGAGATAAAGGACAAAGCTTTATCATCTTTCATGGTTTCAGGGTGAATGTGTAAAGCTCCTTTTTTCTATATTCATATGTGTGAGAAGCAAGAAGAGAAGACTTAAGCTGGTGTCCCTCATTAACCAACTGGACTCAATGATCAGACTTGGATAAAGAAGAGAATTATGAGAAATAAGGAAAAGAAAAAGAAAAAGTATGTGCACTTCTCTCTTCTTCTTTTTTAATTTACTCAATTTTGGATTTCCTTTTTGTTTTGTTTTTTTTTGTCTTTTGATAAGCACCATTTTAAAATTGGGGTTTTTGGGTCCATGATTATCTCATCATCTAGGTGGGGAAGGTGGTATTACAAACAGTTTATTTAATATAAAAAAAAATTGAAAATATAAAACAACCCAACTAGAACAAGAATAAATACCTTATTCTCCTGTAACCTACTCATTGTCATTTGCTCTTTCGTTCTTTAGGTAGTTCAGTATTTGTAAATTGTTTGATCAGCATAACTTAACATCTACTCTAAACATATGTATATCTTATTCTGTAATCTGTTTATGTATCTTTGTCTCCCAACCATATTCATTATTTATATTTATTCTAGTAAGAAACTCTTTTTAATAGATAGTAATTGTTTAGGGATTTGTGGGTCTAATCAATAGGGGCAAATCTCATGCACAAATAGCAAATTTGACAAATTCTTAGGATTCCGAAGACTCTCTTTTTTTTTCTTTGTTCGAATCCGAAGACTCACAAATATCCAAATCCAAGTTATCATAAAGAAAAGAAAAGACCATACGTTAATACATCAGAAATAGAAGAAAAAATCAATAAACAAAGAGGAAAAGGTGAAGTGGCGGCAATGTGGCATCAGAAGAAATAATGGATCAGTCGATTTGGAAACTTAAGTTGAAAACGAGTGAAAGGAAAATGGTTATTTGAAAATACAAGACCAAAAAGTGATCAAAAAGAAGATGAGACATAACAATTTTTCCAAGAAATACTTCATAACTTCAAATTTAAAGTTTAATAATTATTTGCATTGGATTTCTATAATTATACATCTCATTAATAATTTGATTAATTTTTGTACTATCATTTTAGTTCTAGAAATTTATGTCTAATAAAGAAAAATGCTCAATTTCAAGATCTTAATTTGTAATGTAATATATAATATATCAAGCTAAACCGGGTGATATTCAAATCTTGCAAAAAACAGTAACTAGTGAGACTGTTCAAGCTGTTGAGGAGGCTATCCAGGCAACTCCTCCAGTCATCGAAGTTGTATCTGATGTTCGCGCTTCTCTAAGCTAAATCGACTGTTGTGATAGCTCGGGAGGCAGGGGTAGAAAAGTTGGCGGGGAACAGGGATGTGCAGGAAGGGGGTGCTTCGCCTAGAAGCGTGGAGAGAACAGTGAATAGGCTGAAACAGGTCGAAGAGGCTGAGTGGGAAACTGCTAAATCCTCATCGAAGAGTAAGCAGAAAGGAAAACTGACGCAGGAAGCTGAGGAGGTGACCATATCCACACGTTTTAACTCTCTCTTGGAGAATGATGAGATGGAGACAGAGGAGGAGGTAGTGGATGACGCAGTGGTGGAAGATTTGGATAATGTGGATGCGAAGGAGAGTCAGGCTGTGGAGTCGACTCTGAACGAATCGACGCAGGCAGTTGTACAAGGTGGGGGTTGAATTTCTCTTCCAAGAGGGTCAAAATCGTCCCACAAGTTTGTCCAACAGGTCCCGAAACAGAGTAAGGCCCTCTCCCTTGGGAGCTCGGGTAAAAAAAGGAGGAGGAACTGTTACGAAATGAACCTCCTTTTACTCTCGCCTTTAACTCACACCACTCTCGAAAACTTTCGTGCCTTGTCACTCGTTTGTTTATTTGAGAAACACAGAAAAAAGGAGAGCAGAGCAAAACAGAGAAAGGACACAAGAGTTTGTTAACCCGGTTCAACCTATCGGTGTGATAGAGTCTACATCCGGGGCCGGATTCAATCCAGGCGCTTTATAGATCGGAGACGAATGCTCAAGAGAGCTACAAGAGATTACAGGTCTAGTATCTCTCTATTACCACGTTCCTTGGGATAGAGATGAGCTGAGTTTTTTTTTTTTTTTATACTCACGTAAAGCTAATACTCTGTCGCGATCAGAGTCTTTGCCACCTTCCCTTCTATCTCCAAAACGCAGCACTTTAGTTTTTAAATCATACCAGCTGAAGATTTGACTTAACCAGCTCATCCAATCTCGGTTCAAACATCAAACCAATGTCTGATTATGAAATTAGAATCACCGCCAACATTCTCCACCTTGATTCCAATTTCATCTTCTTTCTATAAAACACACTAACTTCGGATTTAACCTCCGGCGAGCGATGAGTTTATCATCCACAGTGAACCAGCCTCAGGTGCTCTAAGGCAGATTCGAACTTCTTCACAGGAATACTCTTGGTTAGAATATCTGCAGGGTTCCTTGAGGTGTGAATCTTGTGAACTTCTACCTCCCCATGTTCAATAATATCTCGAATGAAATGATATTTCTGTGCAACATGCTTTGTTCTTTCATGGAATGTGTTGTTCTTAGACAAACATATTGCTGATTGAGAATCACACCAGATCAGAGCCTTTTCTTCGGTAAAACCCATATCACCAATTAGGCCTTTGATCCATAGAGCTTCCTTGACTGCTTCTGAAAGAGCGATGTATTCGGCCTCTGTGGTTGACAATGCCACAACTGGTTGCAGGCAAGACCTCCAGCTGATGGTATTCCCTCCTACTGTGAATACATAACCACTAATAGACCTTCTTTTATCAAGATCTGCACCGAAATCTGAGTCACAATAGCCCTGAACACTGAACTCGTCATTTCTTGTGAAAACTAAGTTCAACTCTGCTGATCCTCTTATATACCGCAGCAACCACTTAACCGCTTCCCAGTGTATACTTCCCGGCTTGCTCATAAACCTGCTGATTAATCCAATAGCATAAGCCATATCTGGTCTTGTACCAACCATTGCATACATGATGCTTCCCACAGCACTAGAATAAGGAAACCGATCTGTATCAATACACTCTGAAGCTTCACGAACTGCAGACAGTTTAAAATGTCCACCAATCGGTGTATTAACCGTCTTTGCCTCACTCATTTTGAACTTCTGCACTACCTTCTTCAAATAGCTGGATTGAGACAGATACAACACCCCTTCCTTTCTGTCTCGCTTAATATCTATCCCCAAGATCCGACTGGCTGCACCCATATCCTTCATTTCGAATTCAGAACTCATTATCTTCTTGAGTTTATCGATCTCTGCCATCTCCTTAGCAGCCAATAACATATCATCTACATACAGTAAAAGATACACAAATCCCACTTCAACTTTCTTTACGTAAACACAAGAATCATGACCACTTCTATGGAACTTCTGACTTATCATGAACTGATTAAACCTCTTATTCCACATTCTCGGTGACTGCTTCAGACCATAAAGAGATTTCCTCAGTAAACAGACCTGATCTTTGTCCTGATCAACTTTGAAGCCTTCAGGTTGTTCCATATACAGTTCTTGTTCCAAATTTCCATGAAGGAAGGCTGTTTTAACATCCATCTGTTCCAACTCCAGATCTTGATTTACCACTGCAGACATTAGGATTCTTATGGAAACATGTTTTACAACAGGGGCGAATATCTCTTGGTAATTGATGCCCTCTCTTTGTGTAAAACCTCTTGCTACCAATCTGGCCTTGTATCTCTCAGGTTCCACTCCAGGTATACCAGGCTTCTTCTTGTAGAGCCACCTGCAACCAATGACTTTCTTTCCCACTGGTCTATCAACAACATCCCAGGTTTTGTTCTTAGACAGAGACGACATCTCTTCCTCCATCGAACCATCCCACATGAGCCATTCTTCAGAATTCTTGGCTTCATGATAACATTGTGGTTCTTCCAGGTAGAGACTTTCAGCTGTAATCAGTGCAAATGCCGTCAGACTTGAGTCTGAGAATCTCGATGGTGGAACAATAGTTCTTCGTGATCGATCTCGAGCTAACTGATAGCCAGCCAGATCAACTTCAACCTCTGGATTCTGTTCTACCATTTCCTCCTCAGAATCACTTGAATTGTCTTCTGTAACTCCACCTTGAACAAAATCACCTGTTTCTGGTTGTTCAGGTTGTTGTTGTTCCTCTGAGCTTGTCTTAGCCACAATCTCAATACTTCGAGTTCCACTAGACTGACCAATCTCCTGATCCTGTATAGGTCCTTGCTCATTTGTAGATTTTAAATCCTTGTACACCTGATCTTCATGGAACATCACATTTCTGCTTATTACACTCTTTTCAGAATCCAATAACCAGACCTTGTACCCTTTAGTTCCTTGGGGATATCCCAAGAAAACTCCTTTCAAAGCTCTTGGCTTTAGCTTTCCTTGATCATGATGAACATATGCAATCGAACCAAATCTCCTCAGGTGTTTATATCCAGGTTTTCGATTTAGCCATAATTCTTCTGGAACATTATGATCAACGGCTGAGCAGGGTGATCTATTGATCAAATAAGAGGCTGTCGATGCTGCTTCAGCCCAAAACTCCTCACCAAGCCCTGATTCAACCAACATACATCTGACCTTTTCCATAACAGTTCGATTCATCCGCTCAGCAACACCGTTTTGCTGTGGCGTGTAGGTACAAGTTCGATGTCTCTCCACTCCATGTTCTCTGCAGTACTCATCAAACCTTGCATTGCAGAACTCCAAACCATTATCTGTCCTTAGAACCTTTACCGTCTTGTTCATTTGTCTTTCAACCAATTCTTTCCACTCTCTGAACTGATCAAAGGTTTCGTCTTTAGTCTTCAGGAATAGCAGCCACACCTTTCTAGTTTTGTCATCAATAATCGATAAGAAGTATTGTTTCCCTGACAAAGATGGTGTGACACTTGGGGAACCCCACAGATCAGCATGTATATATCCAAGAATGTCTTCAGTATTATGTCTTCCCACATTAAAACTGAGCTTCTTGATCTTTCCCATCACACAATGTTCACAGAATCCCAGCTCTTTCACCTCACCTCTGTCTAGTAACCCTTTTTCAGCCAAAACTTTGAGATTATTTAGGCTCAAGTGCCCGAGTCTGCTGTGCCACAGGGACGTTTTATCACTC